CTTTGTTACTACTTCTTAAAAAGCTTTCTAGTGCAAAAATTTTAATTTTTATACTAGAAAGTTATTTTAAGTAGTAAGAAAGCTGTCTCAAACGAAGCCTAAATGTATATCAAATAATTATAAAATTATATATAAATAAAAGATTTAGGTTTATTTGGGGTGGTTTTCTTACAACTTCTTAAAGCAGCTCTCTAGTATAAAAAAAGTTGTACTAGAAAGCTACTTTAAAAAGCTGTAAGAAAGTCATCCCAAAGAAAGCCTTAGACTTTTTTGGGACAGCTTTTGGGAACTTCTTTTTTTATTTCTTTTAATAAATTTTTATATTTAAAAGTTATTTTAAAAAACAGCAATAAATTATTTGAAATAAAGCCTTAATTAAATACTAGTATAAATGCACGTGCACATGGTGCACGTTAATAAAAACTAAAAAATAATATTCATATAATATGATTGCATGTGAATAAAATTTAAAATTTTATTTTATTAATTTTTTATAAATTAATAAAGTTATCATTATAATTAATTTTAATAAAGATCATATTATTGAATAACTTGAAAATTTTTCTTAAAATTTAATTGATACGTTATTTTAGGATATTTTTAGATGTTTAAAAGTATACTATCATATTATGAAAATTATGATTGATCATCCATGCCAATTTCTAAACGCTAAAAGCATTTTAATCCTTAAGGCAACTAAAACAAGAAAAAAGAAGAAAAAAAAATTAAAACATGAAATTAATCAAAGTGAGATAAACGTCCACTCTATCTCTGAATAAAAAATTCAAAATATAAATTGATTATCAAACAAGAAGTAAATTTGAATAATTAAAAAGATCGATATGCAAAACAATTAAGATATTTTTAATCTACACAGCTCCAGCCACTTGTAGATTGATTTTCACATCAATGATATAATCAAAGTATAAATGTAACCTCATATACATTAATTATAGTTTAGGAATGCATAATCAATTGTCGAACCCATAAGAAAGTTAAGTTCAAGAAGCATTGCCATTATCATCCAATTTTATTTGCATTTCCTATTTATATTTTAAAATATTCTTATGTCCTATTACAAACATACATCAAGCAAGCTCAGTACCCTCTTATAATAACCAATTATAGCATAAAATGATTTAAACAAACAATTTTTTGAAATTCAAATTCGTGGTATGTAATAAGGAAAGAGGTAAATTAAGTGACAATGATTTAACTTTTATTGATCAAAGAGATGAAGAAAATATGAAAATTAGGATGATTAATTAGTAAAGTAAAATATCAAGCGAAATTAATTAGTATTCAACAACTAACACACCAAAAGGAAATTAATTTTTTATATAGGCCAAATGAAAATAAGTTCATAATAAAATATTATATGGATCAATTGATAGAGTCAGGTCATTAAAAATACATAATACTTAAATATTAATGATTCCATCAATTTATCTTCACATCAAATATCTTTCAATTTGAATCAACAAAATTTATCAACGAAACCTTTAAATAAAAATATATGGTCCATCATTTATTGGAATTATCATTTGTTGTTTTGGATGACAGTACTATTACTCAATTAAAAGAAATGAACAACATAAGCACTTATTTTTGTTTTATCCCATCAATTATTTGCATTTAATTTCTTTTTGTTAATCCATTCATCTACATTGACTGACAAATAACTTAATAAAAAAAGTTTTGTTAAATAGGAAATATGTTTTGAATTGAATTTAAAATGTTACATATTTTCAAAAACTGAATCTCATACGGGTCAGTTCCGGGTTCGACCCGAACCCGACCCGTGACCCGATATTGACACCCCTAGGTTTTATAGATGTAAATTAGAAGACTTGTAGAATTTTTGTTTTAAGGGCATTTCATATGAAGTAGAATTTGATGTATTGATAATATTTTAAAGCTTGTGTTTTTATATGCTTGAAGAAGTCAGTTAAGATACCTTCTTTCTCACATTACATCATGCAAATATTTTTGAATAAACAACTTGCACTAGCGAAAACAACATTAGTTTGAACACATAACATGTTATTTTTTTCCATTTGACTCCAGGTTTTCAATAGTTGATATTAGTTGCCTTTGTGAAGGTCCTATCTATCCTCTCACCCAATTATTTCTCTTTCGAACCTATATGTTGATCATTCCCATAGAACCCTAGTTTTAAATCATATTCTTAATACCTTCAATGTTGCATCTTTCTTTTATGTGTATCGCTCACCTCACATCTTAAGTCGTTGACGACGATCACAGATCTGACAGTGGCTTCCTCGTTGTGCCATTATTATCATGACAATTGTTGTATGAAGAAAGACCAGTAACTTCTCCTTTCTGCACCCTCGATAAGTTGAATTCAATAAGATCAATCGAGTTCTTTTCAATCATTTAAATAGAGAAAATAGTTCCCCTGTATTTACTTCTCAAGCAATCAAGCAACTTAATTAATTAGAGTTGTGTATTTATTTCATTCAAGATTCTTAAAATACAAGTGACCCAAATATGCACAGTAGAATAAGTAGGATTTAGAAAATCCTATAAATCCAGAATTACTGAATCTTATATCAACCTTAATTAAGCTAATTAAGTTCTAATTAGACATCTCAAATTTTAATTAATCAGTGATTTATCAAATTAATTAAATAATAAATTATATTTAGACAAATTAAATAAAAAAATAAAAAAATTTAATTAAGATAATAAATTGTTAATGAATTAATATTAATTATTAAGTTTAAATTAATTGCTTGATTAGCAAGTTAACACATACACATATTAGTTCATATATGTAACTAAATAAAATTATTAGATGAAACTTTTAATTAATAAAGATATGATCAAATCTACTTTAGTTAATTAATTTTAGTCAGTTGAAATTAATATTCAAATTACTTATTAATTAATAGTTTATCAAATTAATTACATATAATAAATTTTATTTGATTAACTTAAATCATAAATAATATTAATTTATTTTAATTATATAATAAATTGAGTTAAATATGTGAAGGAGTGAAAAAGAAGAGGAATTTGTATGAGAATAGGGACGAATGCTAGGATTTATTAAATATGGAATTTAAAGTGGACATTGAAAAAAAAAGAGATATTCAAAGTTCAAATGTTCAACTATTATTGAACTGAATGATATAATAAATATTAACAATATTTTAATATGATTTAAATTATATAACAATAATATCATAATGATATTTTTTTGGTAATCGAACATTTAACATTTTAAATTGGGATACTTCACCATTAAATATTTTGAATATGATATTTTAATTATTTGTAAAATATTTACTTCAAATAGCACCAAATTCCAATTTAAAAGTTTGGAAAACATAATTAGAGATTGGTTGAACTTGTTAGAATTTCTAAACCTTTTATTTGAGCCATTTCATCAAAATCAAAAGGCAAGATTTTGATATATATTCAAACATATCGGTTTATCAAAAATCAAACCAGCTCACTAGTTTTTCAATTTAACAACCAATTCCGAGTGATTATAATTGGATTTGTGTAGAAGCGATTTTAGAGTTGGACCGAATTGGTCAGATAGCTGGTTCATAGTTGAATTAGTCAAACTGAAAGATCTGGCCAAATTTTAAAAAAACTTGGCAAAATAACACTTATATAAGGAATAAAATTTTATAATGATTGACGTACTTAGAAAATTCATAATGATAAAAATTGAGATTTGCATCTTATAGCTTTAACAAAGATTAGCACACATGCTATTCGCACATAAAAGCCTTAAGGATTTTTTCTATAAAAAATCCTTAAAATGAAAATTCTTGAGGCTTAATATAGCTCAAATTTATACACAAATTTGAGCTTGAAGTTACATAGATTAGATCTTCCACATAATTAAAGAAAGGTGGAAGAACAATGTAAAAATTCAAACTAGGTGATATGTGAAATACACTAGTGGACATCATGTATGCCACTTTGATAAAATGTTAAGGATATTTTGGTAATTAATTATTTACTATCAAATTATATATTATTAGCCCTTCATGTATTAAATTCTAAGAAAAAAAATTACAAATCACTAAAATCATTTCCATTTTGAACGTTATGCATTTCTTTCATATATAATAGTAAATGTATTTTAAGCCATTTTTTCTCAAAAGCCTAAAATATCCTTAATTCTTATAAAAATAAGGTTATAAATGTAATTTCATAAAAGTTAATTTCACCAAAAATGGATTACATATATGCATGCCTTCACATCATCATATGGAGATTGAAGGGGTATTAACTTAAGAAGTTCTATGATATTGATGTAATGGTTAAGGATAAATATTTAATTCATAAAAATTATTTTTAAATTAATTCCAAAATGGTTGTTAAATAATATAAATAATTCTTATTTGATAATATCACAAAATGAACACATTTTGCATTATAAAACATAATATAATCAATAAAATACATTTGCTACTCCATCCATTAAGTGATTTGGACCTACAAATTGGTCTCTTTCAAGCTATCTTGAGTGGTTAGAAAATTAAAATTCCAATTTTTTTCAGAAGTGGACCCTTATGATCTCCATTTTCATTGCAACCATTCTCTCCCTATTAGAGAAAACAAGCTTTCTAACTTCTTTAGAGAGCTCCATTTCTCTCCCTCTAAATGCTTCTTCTCAGATCGATTTTGCATAGATCTTCTTGACTGACCTATAAAATTATCAAAACACTAACAAATTTACAACTAATAATAATAAATAATATTTCTATACTTAAAAAATATTTAAAATGAAACAAATACAGTTTAATTTATTCAATCATTTAAATAGACATATATATAAATAAAATTTAAATAAAGAAATATGAACTCATTGATCCCTTCCTCTCACCACCATCACAAAAAAGTCATAGTTGCAAAAAGAAAACTTTTTAAATCTCCATTAAAAAAGAAGGGAAAAAAAATCAAATCATGAGATAATACCAATAATGTATATACATATTCCTACTTCTCTTCATGGAATAAATATGCACAGATGAGAACAAAGACCACGGAACTGCCCTCCCATCCCTTCTTCTTAAAAGCACCAAAGCCCACCCATCCCTCTCCTGCATTTCCTACCAAATATTAATTCCTCCTCTCATCGGCCGTCCATCTTATTCATTCATGTACGCCAAAGAAGAACCCGGTACCTCGCCGGAGCTCAGCCCGTATCTTGATCCCGAGCCTTCTCCTAAGAAAAGGTCAGTTCGATTGGTCTGCGGTGATCCCTTTGTTCTTCTTTACAATTTCTAAACTCTTTTCATTGGGGAAAACGACAGCCGCCGGTCGGTGCAGAAGAGGGTGGTGTCGTTGCCGGTGCCGGAAGCGGAGGGGCCGCGGCTGAAGTCAGGCGGAGAGGCCGCACCTCCCCCGGATTCGTGGGCCTGGCGAAAGTATGGGCAGAAGCCGATAAAGGGATCTCCTTATCCCAGGTGGTTATCTATCACTTGCCACTTAATATTTTTCTGAAGAGCTTTTTTTTGTTGATCAAAATTAGATTTTGGGATGTTTTTCCTTTGAAAAATTAGATTTTGAGATGTTTTTCCTTCTCGATTCATAAGCGCTGTGATGGGGAGCTTAGAGAAAGCAACGATGATAAATATTTGTTATCAGAGATAAAAAGGGATGATTTATTATTGTTCATACGTTTTATTTCATAAAAGTCTTAACTTTTTATTCACCATGGCATGGTTTGATTTCAAATATATCATAACGTGGAATTATAGTGATCCAAATTGCTCATTCAAACTGAAATCAAACAATTAGTTTTCATTTACAATTTTAATGAACAAACATTTAGATTCATTCAACTGTATAAATACTAGTGTTTTGATCCTATTCGATTCAATATAAATGCATGGAATATGCTCATCATAGTTCTAACAAAATGTCTCTGATCAAATTCAATCCTGAAAAAAAAAATTTTTTTGTTTATTTCAACTATTATCAAACAGCAAATTTTCAGTTAAATTTTTGAAGAGCACAGATTTAAGGGGATATTTTATATATATAATGGAACAACTGATTTCTTCAATTATTAAAATTATTATATATTAATAATTTTGATTGTAAAAATTAGGGGTGGACGAGGAGGAAGACGCGCTCTTCGCCGGACTCGGCGAGCTGCCAGAATATTCTGTTATTTCCCGGCGAGGATTTCTGGACCTTCAGATACGTGGCGGGGAGGACGGGAAACTGTGTGGATTGGAAGCAGCGGCGGCGGCGTGTGGAAGCAACGGATGAGTGGCGGTGGCGGCGGCCATACGATCGTTCCAGATTTTTGTTTTTTTATGCTTTAATCATTGCCATTAAAAAGACTTTTTTTTTTCTATACCGAATTACCTAATTTTGAAACAAATAAAAAATTAGGAGATTTACGTGCATTTCACTTAATATATTATGTATTTACCTATTTAAAATTAAAACAATTATATTTTTCAAATAAATGTCTAAAATAATTTTATCACACACAAGCCTATTTTAATTAAAAATAAATAATAATAATAATATATTTGTCCCATCCTATAATATTCATGGTGGTAGAGAAATATGAAATTTAATTTAGGGGGGGGATCGTAGTCGGCAGGACTATAGTCGATGGGCGGCAGGATCGTAGTCGGCAGGAGACAGTGGTAAAAAAGATCGTTGTCTGGCGAGGGAGGTCAAAAGGGCTGTCGTAGGCGGAGGAGGGCGGAAGGACCGTAGTCGGCAGGAAACAAGAACAGGGGTCAGAAAGACTGTTGTCAAGCGATGGAGGTCGGAAGGATCATAGTAAACAACAGGAGTCAGAAAGACCATAGTCATAAGACCACTGACAAAAGTCTAGGTGTTATTCGATGGTTTGACAAAACTCTGACTTATGTCAGTGGTCCGACGAAAGTTCGGGCCCCAGTCAGTGGTACGACAAAGGCCCAGCGAAACTTCAGCGTCTTGCAGTGGTTCGGTGGAACTCTTGTGCTAGGTGGTGGTTTGGCAGAACTCCGGCGTCGGGCAGTGGTCCGGTGGAAGCTCGCTTCGGGTGTGGTCCGGCATAATTCTGGCGTCAAGTGGTGGTCTAGCAGAACTCCGGCGTCGGGCGGTGGTCAGATGGAACTACAACATCAGGTGGTGGTCCAGCAAAAGTCTGAGTCTCAGGTAGTGTTCCTGCGAAAGTCCGGGCCTTAGGTGGTCGAGGAGGAGCAAGGAGGCAAGAGCGATCTCCGATCTCTCTCTTGTTTCCTTTGGCTTGGGGTCCCTTTTCAAGAGGAATGAGGTGTCTATTTATATATTTTCTAGAGTGACATGACCAGTAAATAGGAGGAAGATTAAGGGTAAATGGGGAGTAGTTTGGATGAATGGCCAATATTGAATCTCTTGATCATTGACCATTTGCTGGACATTTGAAGGTCTTAAAGATGTCAGAATTTGGTTATCTTGGGATCGTTGGATTTGTCTCGTCGAGCCGCTCGATTCGACTATAAGCATGTCACGTTTGGAAATCGTTTGGTAGTCCAAATTGTGGTTTGAACCTTTCAATAGTGTTTTAGACCCTTGATTTGGACCCATTTGGGGTTGGATTGAGTCGAATTTGGTGTCGTTGGGTTTGTATTTTCGAGACATTCAGTTTGACCATAAGTTTGCTGAAATCAGAGTTCGGATGGTCCCAACTTTAATTTCGGAAGTGTCCAACTTGAATTTGCCTCAACATTTGTGCACGATCAAGATAAATTTGCCCCTAGAGGGCCCCCTAACTCCACTCATGATATATATATATCCGACAACCCAAGAAGGTCTTGATGAGTTGGGTTGTTGAAGTTACAGCGAGATCTTACTATATATTTGAAAGGAGCCTAAGAAGGTTTGAGAGAAAAAAAAAGGAGCCGTGGATGAGTGATTTTATTCACATGAGAATTTATAGAAGACTTTATTTTGTTGAGAGAAAGGGTGAGTCAAATGTGAGATTGTATGGATTCCGAAAGAGGAGTTCAATGATAGAAATTTGATAAAAAAAAATATGAAGTCAAAGCCAAAGATGTTCTAATGAGAAACTTGAGTGAGTTTTAGTAAGAACCTAAAAATGATGGGTGAGTACTATCGACAAGCAATCGTGATATTCAATAAGAGAGTTTTTGTCAAATGAGTGATTTCATGAGTCTTTGTGAAACCTCGATGTTTGAGTAGAACTTATCAATCTATGTGACTTGATGAGATTTAACTCTTGAATGAGAGAAAAGGGTAGTTGGTGACCCGAGGAATTATATGACTTCAAGCTTCAAGAGTTGCACGAGCGAATTAAGATTGTTCACAATTAATGAGTTATAGAAATCAATTTAGGCTTCGTTTGGGACAACTTTTTTATTGCTTTTAAAATAGAGTTTTAATACAAAAACTTTAACCCAAACAAAGTCTTAAGCTTGTTGGTCAATTTGATCAAGCGGATCTACGTGAATATAGGTGTAGATTAAGGCTTCGTTTGGGATAGTTTTTTGCTGCTTCTTAAATTAATCAGCTTTTTAGTACAAAAATTTTCATTTTTGTATTAAAAAGCTGCTTTAAGAAGCTGGAAGAAAGCCGTCCCAAACTAAGCCGAACTCCCCAATTCCCTTTTTGATTCCGCGTAGCAATTAAAAAAAAAAGAATAATTTTGAAATTTCTAATTTTTCCTTCGATGAATCATTGAATTTAATCATTTAATAATGATAAATTATTTAAAAAAAAAAAACATTCTTATCAAATATGAATTTTGATGTAATTATTTATCACAAATAACTCTTAACATTTTAAATGGAAATGTTCATGCTTTATATAATCATTTTAATTATTCCACAAGAAACTCTATGTAAGGGCTTATTGTCACATAGGCAAAGGATGGCACAATACAACAAGGGTAAGTAAAGAGAACCCTACTCCATTTAAAGGGAAATATCCACTCTCTATTAGCCTAAAGATCTAACTTCAATAACTTGGACTTCTATCACACCAAACAAAATATGAAGGACTCATATCATTCTCATGGATATTTGAAAGACTTGATCTCCCTTTAAGAAAAAAGCCTAAAAAATCTCAATCATTCGTTATATACCACAAAAGATCCTCTTAATCAAGCTCTCATATTGATGCATATTAGAATAGAAAAATTTTTAAATTAAATTTGAGACCGGGAACCATCTCAATTCTAATTTCAACAAACTTACAATCAAATTAAATGAATTATTGAGATGAACTAATCAACAGTGAAAGAGATTTGATTTGAGCCAAGTGAGCCTAAATCAAGTGACTGAAGCTTGATTAATTTTCAACGAGATGAATCCAATGAGCCTAAGAATGCTTAATTCTGACATTATGAAAATACTGAAATAGTAAAAGAATGATTTATAATAAAAGAAATTAATATTGATCGTTTAATAGAGAAGCATTCGCTAAACTTTCAACCAATTTTTATAAACTAACAAATCACAAAATATTTTCAAAATCTATTATCAACGAACGAATAAATTAAACAAAGTCATTTTCATATGACTTTTGATATTTTGCGCTATTTTAAGAACATTTGTAACTAAATTCTTAATAATTTTCATCTCAAATGATTTAGGGACTCTATTTAAGTGAAATTATGATCAAGGAGAGAAATATGAATTTTTGGCCCTTATAGTAGTTCATATTGATGTAGAAAGAGTTATCGTACCTTGAAATTTTCATAAATTTATAATTTTATGTTCCAATATTTTCACAATCATACTATTTTCTGACTCCAAAATTTTGATATGAAAATTTATCTAATCAAATATAGATTTTAATGAAAGTTTTATATCCGGAAGAACCTAAAAATTTGATCTAAAAATTTCATGAATTAATTATGAGATAGTATAATAAAATTCTATTTTAGCTAATTTATAGGCAAAATAATAAAATTGGATGAGACAAACCCAATCATACCTAGAATGCATGGATATGAGTGACTGAGTCTAAGGCTTCGTTTGGAACAACTTTCTAACTTTTTATGAAGCAGTATTTTAATACAAAAATTTCTAATTTAAAAAAATTTTGTACTAAAACATTGCTTCATAAAATAGTAAAAAAAAAATATCTCAAACAAAATCTAAATCTAGTACTCTTAAACATAATTAAAATTTTTTTGAGGTCATTTAAGGCTAAATGCCATCCAATTTTTATTTATTTATATTTAAAATAAGAATCTTGACATGTCAAATTTGAAGAGCCCAATATTGCATGATTTTGAGTTTATTAAAGCACTAAGTTATCCATATAAACTTCTCTATAATGTCACTTGGAGAGTATAAATTTTTATATAAATTTATAAAGAATTAAAGCCCTTGCACATAAGAGGATTTTTTTGAAATAAAAAAAATAAAAAAGAGGATTTTTAGTGGAGAGAATTCGAAAGCCCCGGCACCTATTGTTTAATTTTTCATGTTTCACCCAATCTCCCCTCCTACAAAGGGAATGATCGAACTAACCGTCAAACCTAGACTAAATTCCAACATTCTCCATCAATCATAGCTCAACCTTATAATGGCCAATGTCAATCAACCAGTGAAGCTAGCCCAATGTTCATCTTGTCAATTGTCAGGCCTTCCTTACCTCTATCAGCTCAATACAATGACAACTCTAATACCTCAAGCCTTGCTATACTACCATCACATAAGATATCATTAACCATCCATGATCATTGTATTGTATTAATGCATTTCTAGTTATGGAGAAGTACACCACTGTTTAATAGTTGACTCACATTAATGAAATTATTTCGACCATTAGCCAGATATCATGATTCCTCCCCCGTTACAACTATCTATTCATATGAATTTTTTTTGTACTATAATAAGATAGATAAATGATCATTCTACTATGAAGAATATTCTAATCTACAACAAATATTCTAACATAGATTTCTTTGATAATCAAAATTTTATTTATAATTGTATTACTCCTTTTAAATTAGGTCAATAGTTATATAAAATAAAATAAAATAAAAATATTTCCCTTAACATTTATGTCATCTAAGAACCTTTCAATTTTTTTTTCTTAAAAAATTTTAAAAATGTGCTTTCAAATTATGAGATTAATTTAAATAAATAAATAAATAGACAAAAGAGTGGTTAGAATCCCTCCTCCCATGAGGGATGATAAAAGCTTGGTTCAATGTACCTTGATTGAATTGCCGGCCTTCATTTTTATAATTTCTTTTATTTTCTATGATAATATAATATTCATCATTAATGATGATGTGATCATAGACTTCTCATGATATCTTCAAATCTTTATATTTGAAAGAAATTTGTAAATTAAAAACATATAAAAAAATGTATTTTTATTGATTTTAAAATAAAATATTTTTTAATTTGAAATTAATATTAATGATATGCTTAAATAAATAATAAATTAAACAAATTTATCATCTTGCTATTACTAAAATTCTCTATCATACAATTTTCAAAATATGCACAATCATTATTTTATCACACCTTTTTTTTTTTTTTTTTTTATTAATAAAAAATTTTAATAAAAAGAGTTGTTACTCATAATTCAAGATCATCCCTCACAATGATACAAATCTCATCCTTCATTAATATCCTACTTATAGAAAAAGGACAATTTCATGAAGTATAATCATACTACAAAAGCAAAAAATGAACATCAACAAAACTGATTAAACAAAATGAAGAATAAAAACCAATAGCTCGAGGATGTTTTCCGTACTTCCTTCACCACTAGTTAATCGAACAAGCTGAAGCCCATGCCATCATCAGACTCTTCCTTCTCTTCCACTTTCTCTTCTTTTTTAGGCTCGGCGGCTGCAGGGGTAACAGCACCACCACCACCGCTTCCAACAGGTGCAGCCACTGCAACAGCACCACCACCTGAAGGTACAGAAGCAAATTTCTCCCTTCCAGAAGCAATAAGTTCAGTTATGTCCTTGCCTTTAACTTCAGATAATAGGAATTCAATCATCCCATCATCAGCATCAGCACCAACTGATTCTAGGATAATCTTTACATCATGAGCTGATGGATTACTGTTTCCACCAAGGACAGCAAGCAAATAAGCAGCAAGGATCTTCATTTTGGAGATCTGGAAGCGAAAATATCCCGCCACCGAGGGAATTACCGGAAGCCTTCTTTAGTTTTATCACACCTTAAGTTTAGTAATATATTAAAATTAAGAGATTTTTGTTATGCCTTTAAAAAAATATATAATTATAATAATAAAAAAACAATTGCATAACAGCCAAAACAACTATATGATATTCTTTATAATTTCTTGTTGCTCAAGCAATTTTATTATTTTTTATATAAATTTTTATATTACTTTTATGTGAAAAAACAGTCTATACCCATTTTTATCATAATAATAATAAAATGAAAATGATAAAACTCACACACTATACAACAACAAGCCTTTGTCACAGTACGTGGGATCAACTACATGAATCATTTTTTTTTATTAATGTGTCATGTTAAAAGTCAAATTCTCATTTAAATCTAATAAGAAAATATCATTTCTAATTTCTCTAACCAAGCCTTTTTAGTTCTACTTCTACCTTTCTTAACATAAGTTACATTTAATACCTCTACTATCCTAACCGAGTCATCGGAAGGCCGCCGTTTTATATGACCTAACCATCTAAGGCAACTCTCTCTAATCTTATCTTCCACTGGAGCTACACCAACCTTTTCACGAAAATGCTCATTTCGTATCCTATATCTAAAAACAAAGCCATTCATTCATTATATTTTATCAAAATTCAATTAGTTATATACTTGTTATATATGCAAAATAAACCTCAAATAATCCCAATTATAGGGGTGTAAATGATTCAAGCCAATTTCGAGTCAAATTTAATTTGAGCTTGAGCTAGATTAATTAATTGAGTTTAAGCTCAAGCACACAACTCATCATGGTATGTTGATCGGAAGCTTTGACTATATCAACTAAGAGGTCTTGTAATCAAATTTTGCGTATGTATTATGTGTGTGAATTTGCCTTAATTGGCATGATTTTTTATTTGAACTACTAAATTCTAATATATTTGAAGTTAATTTTATATTAGTACTTTTTAAAATGAGCTGGTCTGCGAAATCACGACTCGAGTCAAGGTGAGGCTACCTCAAATTTAACTCGTTAGCTCATCGAGGAAAGCTCACAAGCTATTTATCAAACTGAGCTCAAGCCGGTTCACAAGGTTGCTTCACTTACAACCCTAATTTCAACTTTAACAATAATTATGTTAATTTCTCAACTAACACAGTCACAAATAAATGCTAATCACTTTAATAAACTCAAATATTGAGACGAATTAGTCTCCCCTGCAAATGTAAGAAGATAAGATAAATAAATATTCTGATCCTTACAGCTAATTATTGCACTGCTGATAATGAAATATACACGTACGAATATCATTAATTAGCCTAAATATTAAAATAAAATAATTTAAAAAAAAAATAAGTAAAACAGGGCCCACCTGACCTCAGCTCAGACGTCACTGAAGGCTGGCCGCGGCCTGACGCCGGCCGGCCGGCCGGCCGGCCAGTGCTTATCTTCTTTTTTTACATATATTAATATATTATTGTATTATAAAATTATAGATATTTATTTATGTAATTATATGATTGGTCGTCATATTTAATAAAGTTAGTAGCTTGTTTGGTAAGATAAGGCATATTTTAATTAGATGATATGGTATTTATGTACAATAATTATTAATTGAATTTTAATGGAGATGAGATATGAATGACTAAGATTTATTGGTCTTAATAAGGAAAATAATTGTATTTTGATGAAGGAAAATGAAGATGATGTGTCATATTTAATAATAGGAAAAAAAATAGCACAATATATTCATAGTCAAATCTCAATGAGGATTGAGATATGATTCAATAAATTTTAAATTTTATGTTTTTATGTGAAAAATATTCTCTATTTATTATTATTATTATATATTTTAAATATGAAAAAAATTACTATTATTATTGGAGTAGAATATTTGATTAATCACATTGAATAGAGGATAATTAATTTTTTTTTAACCAAGGAAAAGCACAATGTGGTCAATCCACTATTAATAAAAATTTGAAGATTTCAATATAATTTAAGATAAGGATCAAAATATTTATCATGAAATATTGAAATATATAAATGAACTATCGCTTATCCTCATTTAGGATATTATTAATATTTTAAATTTCTAAATTATATTAAAATTCTAGAGTTTTGACCATCACCTTCAATTCTAATTTGTCGTTATGAGATTTATGAATCCTATGATCATACAATCCTTCAACTATCTGGAAAAAAAAAAAACATTTTTTTATGCATTGCCAATATCTCTAGATTGTATAATTCACCCTTTTCCTAGAAGAGTGACCAATGTTACCCTCTTTATGGGGGCGAATTATTACGTCCGGTCATCCAATCTAGACGCGCCATGTCACCCAAATACACTGGGGCCGGTGTATTTTGGTGACGTGGCACGTCTGGATTGGTGTCCGAACAAATTCGGACACCTTCGGACACCGGACGTAATAATTTGCCCTTTATGGGAGATTGACTTTTTGTACCTTCTCACAGGAGAGATACTATTATTATTTCTTTTCCTAACGAGCATTCTCCCCCTTATTTTCTCTAGTGGACCAAAACATCTTCTCCATTGTGACATAATGGTTTAGTAAAAAAAAAAAAAAAAAGATCTTGTAGTTATGGCCTATAGTATTTTAATAGATTGATGGTAAATTTAATAGAGGAATATGCAATATATTAATGAGAATAAGTATTAAGAAAATTAAAATATTTCTTTGACACGTAACAATTGTTAGATACCTATCAAATTTTTAAATTTTTTATAATTAGAGCAAGATTTATAGATTTTAAAAAAGGTGCTACATTATTAGTTTTGTTGTTTAGCAACTCTTATAGAAGAGGGAGATTACATCATTCAATCTCTGAAGAAACTTTGTTCAATCTTTGGAGGATTGCATTCATTATATGAATGAATCTCATAATGAGATATAAGTCCATATAATTGGGACCAACACATGAAAACTTCATTGGCTCTTACCTTCTTATAAATATATTATGTATCAAGGGCTTTGGGAATTAATCACTCATCATAAGGTTGAGTTTCCACCTCATCAATCATCATGGAGCATGAACCTTTCTATTACTAGTTATATTGGTATGTGAGATGTCTCATCAAATCCATTATCCTCTAATAGCAACAAAAATCCACCCTTACTATTGATTGGTGACTTCTCTCATATTATGGTTTGACTCTTTATTTATATAGCTTATATGTGATTTTTCATTAAGATTGTGGACACACCATGAAGGATCGAACACCTAAAGAAAAAGACCAAGAGACTTAGACTTCGTTTGGGACGACTTTTTTACTGCTTTCTAAAACAGAGTTTTAGTACAATTTTTTTTTTTATATTAAAACTCCGTTTTAGAAAGTAATAAAAAAGTCATCCCAAACGAAGCCTTAGACTTCATTTCTTTTGAGATAGCTTTCTTCTTGCTTTCTAGAATATTTTTTTAGTTAAAAAACTTTTTGAATTAGCTTTAAAAATAGACTTCATTTCTTTTGAGATAGCTTTCTTCTTGCTTTCTAGAATATTTTTTTAGTTAAAAAACTTTTTGAATTAGCTTTAAAAGTAATAAAAAAAGGTTCTAAACGAAACCTTAGAACAAGATTAAAGTTCTTAACCTATGACTTGGTAAGCTCCACGAATGCATGTGCAATGAAATCAACTGATGGTTGGAGGAATTAATACTATTATTGGAGGGCCTCTTCGATTGAAAAGAGTCCTTGCATCAATTCGCTAACCCCATTAAAACTTTTTTTTTTTTCTCCATCAGATTATCTTTGAAGTTACATGCTTGAAAATAGACTTTGAAGTTACATGCTTGAAAATAGAGGTTTAAATGAGTCAAACCAACTCATTCGCCCGCTCAACCTCAACAATAAATGACTCATGAACAAAACTTGATGAGCTAATAAGCCAAACTTGATCATGAGCTCGCAAGCCAACTGTTTAAAATTATTAATGTATAATATACTTAAAATATATAAGTATTCAAGATTTTAAGTATAGAATTATTAAAAAATATTTAAGAATATATTACTTTCTTATATTAAATGATTATTAATCTTTTTTTTATAACTCTCACTTTTTTACCATTTTATTATATTACTTATTTAAATAATAACTATTTTATCTCTTTCAAAATAGACGAGCCAACTCGAACTCGTAGAATAACACTCGAGCTCAAACTCGATTAATTGATCAAGCTCAAATCGGGAGTAACTTGAGCTCAGCTCAACTCATTCATACCACTACTTGATCAAGATCCACTAATACTCAACACAAATACAAGAGAACTATACTTCAGAATCAAGAAGAACCTCATCGATAACAAGGCCTCTGTCAAACCCTTAAAACCCTTAAAAATGAGAATTGAAGGCATGGTTACTCTACTAATTACCTTCCATAAGCTTCCATCAGCAAGCTGCACGTTCTATAAACCCTAATGGTGATTAAGATTTTCTTTTGGACAACTTCTTTAATTTTTTTTTCAAATAACTTTTTAATATAAAAATTTTTTGAATTAAAAATTTGTGTTAAAAAAATTGTTTTAAAAAGTAATAAAAAATTATCTCAAATAAAACCTAAGTTATAAGAACCTCTCCTAAGTAAATAAACTAGAAAGACATTCTCAACTTCTGCCCCAAGTGAAACCTTAAACTGCGTTAATTTGGAGTCAATTTAGATCAAACGCCTAATGCTATGGCTTATTTAAGTGATCAAGATCATTATTAACAAACACCAAGGACCTAGTAGAACTCTCTTAGATAAGCCATTCCTAGCATAGATCCACCCAAAGCTAACTGTTTTCAACCCTAATTATTTCATTTTAATTAATCAGGTCAGGGTTAAGAATCAAAAGGTTATTTCAATGTTTTCTAGGATTATCTAACTCAGGCTGAGGGTTTAACAAAGCTGGTTAGGTACTTGTTGACCTGAGGTTGAACAAGGGATTTACTAGGTTGACTTTAACCAGCCATAGTAATAATGTGCAATTATGCGGGTCTATGATTTATTATTATTATTAGGGAAATTTACATACATACCACTTTATTTCATGCTATTTACATATCTAACACCCAAAACATTAATATTACATGACTACCACTCATATACAACTTTAATATCAACTTTAATTTACATATATACCACTTTTTTTTTTTTTTGTTGCTTTAAAAAAAATTATGAACAAAA